ATGGTTTAACACTTGAAGCAAGTCTTGATATATTAAAAACTGAAATACGAAATTTAATTAGTGATAAACGACGATCTGTTAATGATTTAATTATAGCAGCACGTGTTTTACAAAGACATATAACTGATCAATTACAATTACAAACATTAAAACAACAAATTGATCGATTAGAACAAATACTTAATAGAACAGAAGAACATGATGAAAAACGGTTTGTTTTATTCTCATTTAAAAACAAATATTAATGTTTTCATTTTGTTATTGTTATTTTTAGAATTAAAAAGACTGAAATAGTTCTTAAAATGTTTCATGATTTTGAACAAGGTTTAGAAAATCTTCGTTCATGGATGATGGATACTATTGAAACAAATTTACAAAAATCATTATCAATAAATACATTAAATGAAAATCAATTACGTGATCATCAACAATCTATTATTCTATGTAACAAAAAAGACTCTACCGGGTGTGATGATCACCTTTGAATTGAAAAGTCACCTATATCATTTTCTAGATCAGTTCGCAATGCATTCAATCGTATATAGAAGATGACATTTTCACTAAAGAATTTTCTATAGAATCCACCAACTAGTATGCGAAGTCTTGGTGAAAATGTCATTTTCTATACACTACTGTACATATCGTGAATTGCTCTAGACAATGATAAAGATAGAAAATCCGTTAGCGTCAAACAAACTAAAGAAAAATATTTTTGAAATTTTTAGGGAATCGAAGGAGATATTGAAAAAGATCCTACTATTGTTAGTAGTGTTCTAGCACTTGGTCATTATTTATTAAGTGAAATTGATATTCGTTCACGAAATATTAATTCAATACCACGAACAATTCAATCAATTGAACAACGTTGTACATCATTCAAAGATTTAATACGAAAAAGAAAAGTTGAGTAAAGAATTTATTCATTTTAATAAAATAAAATATTTCATAAATGATAGATTGGATACACAACATCTATCATGGATAAATGTTCAAGATCCAATAAAACGTGCATCAAAAATGATTACTGATCATCAACGATTTCTTAATGAAGTTAAAAGAACATGTGGACAAGGTTTACAAGGTCTTAAAAATGAATACAAAACTCTTGAGGTTTGAGATTTCAAAAATTTCTTTTTTTTTT